TCTTCTTCGCAACCTTTTCCTCGTCTTCAGAGTCACACTGGAACCACTTCTTCTGCTTCTTAGGTGGCTCCTCTTGTTGCTCCTCTTCTGACATGTCCTTATCGTCATCACTATACTCTGCATCTGCCCTAAAGTTCGCCAAGAGGTCTTCGCCAGGATCTGGAAGTACAACGCCTGCATCGCTTGCATCGTCGTCAGCATTGGCCATCTCAGCCCTTTCCCTCTCTTTGCGTTTCCGCAACTTTTCTTTCCTCTTGGCCTTAGCGGTCGCTTTGTCTTCGATATCGGCATTTTGAACTTCTTCGCGTGCGGCTTCGATGAACTTCTGTCGTTGCTCTTCTGGCAGGCCCTTGGCGCGGAATTGCTCTTCGTCTTCGAGTTCGTAAACTTCGTGCGGGTTGCCTTCATCGTCGTAAATGAGCTTCTTGCCTTTGTCCATGAGCTTGGTAAGCTTCTTCTTGGATTGAAGAAGTTTCTCTCGGCGATGGCTGTCGATAACAATGGGTTGCGATGCACCGGCAATGTGAACAACACGACCACCCACAGGGAGTATCGGGTCCTGGTCAGTGTTGAGATCCTCGGGTTCGTCATCTGCTGGAATCCGTCGTTTAACAGCCATGAAGTCGTCGTCTCCATTGGTCGCCGCTCCAGCTCCACTGAACTCGTCTGCCTGCGCCTCTTCGTCTTCGTTCCTCACAAGTTTCTGGTAATGCTCTGCGAGGACATCCTGGTTCTTGCGCTCGAACATACGATCGTACTTAGTTCGTACAGGCTTGTCTGTCTTCGCAACCTCTTCGGCATCTGATGAATCAGACACTTCAATAGTCTGCCTCGATGCTTGTTTCTTCTGCTTGCTGTCGTCGTCTTTCAAGAACTTGATCCTTGGTGTTCCTGGGAGACCCAAACTCGCCGCGTATGCTTCGAGATTATACTCCTTCAGTTTGAAGACCTCTTTATCCTTTTGTAGATAGATAGACTTGACATGCGTCATGAAGGCCTTTTGTCCCAGATACTTCAAGGCAGGGTCCTGGAAGCACATGTTCTGTAGCTGATCCTTGATTGACTGACGCTTCTTTTGTCGCACATTGATCATCTCGATGGGCACTTTCTTGGCTTCCAGACGCTTCAGCATACCCTCCTCTTCGCTAGGTGCTAAGAAAAGCACACCACGTCCTTCTCGGTTGTATCGTGCTGTTCGACCGACTCGGTGAATATACGTGTCGACATCATCAGGACAGTCGACCTGTATGACGAAGTCGACAGCGGGGAAATCGAGACCTCGAGCTGCAACATCGGTTGCAAAAAGACACGAGTGTTTGGCCGAGGAAAACTTGGCGGTTGTGTCTAACCGAGCACCTTGCTTCTGGCGACCATGGATGTGCAACAATGGGATACCGGGCTGCATGTGACGAAAGGACTCGTATACAAATCGAACAGTCTTGGCAGACGAGAAGAAGCAGAGGATCTTGGACTTCTTACTGGATTGAATAAAACTCCACAGGGTATCCAGCTTCTCCTCCAGAGGGCAAATGATATAGTTTTGTGTAAGTCCCTTAGGCGTTGCGCTCTTATCCTCGGCATGAACCGATACGTATTCGGGGTCCTGGAGACTCAGGCGTGCAAGGTCAGACACCTTCTTGGATTGGGTGGCGGAGAAGAGGAGTGTTTGTCGCTCTTTTGGCAGGTACTCGATGATTGCATCCACATCTCTCTGAAAACCCATGTCAAGAATCCTATCCGCTTCATCCAACACCAGCATCTTGAGGTCGTCAACGTTGAAGGCAGCTGTTTGCGACAAATGTTGCAACATTCTTCCCGGTGTTGCGACAAGTATGTTCATCTTGGTCAGAGCCTCCCTCTCAGCTTGCAAGCTCTTGCCTCCAATAAGAAGACCTGCAGCAAACATATGCCCGTGTCTTCCAATCTTGCGCAGGACGTCGAAAATTTGAATAGCGAGTTCTCGGGTTGGCGATAGAATCAAAGCGCCCAAGCCTGCGTCTGGCCCAACGTGCTGCAACCGATAGAGGTTCTCCAGGACAGGAATTATGAAGGAAAGCGTCTTTCCGCTTCCAGTCTTTGCGGCGCCGAGTATATCGTGGCCCTTGAGCGCAAGCGGAATTGCCTTGGCCTGGATGTCGGTCATAACCGCAAAATGTGCAGACTTGAGGCCTTGCTTGGTCGGGTCGGAGAGCGGCAGGTCGGTGAAGTCTTTGTAAGAGCCTTGCTTGGGGTCCTATATCTACAGTCAGTTTCATACGCCCTGTCAAATTGCGATGTTTTCACAAGCCTACCAGGTCCTGAACTGCCTGCTCCAGCTTCTCCACATCCACATCGTCGCGCTTCCGTTTCTGGACATTTTCACGCTTCTTGACCTTTGTGGGCCTTGTGCGACCGGTTATTTCTGGTGCGACCATTCTGGCGCTGGACTCTCTCCACGGGCAATTTAGTGTTGAGACTTTCGCGTCGCATCTCAAGAGAACTTTTTGGTGGAGCACTCTAGGTGGTCTGTGCGCTTCGCCGCGGGGATTGCTGTGGCTGGCCATCACCGCTGCGACACACATCTTCACCTTTCATCTTCCTACAAGGAAGACCAAGCATAGCGCCAATAAGCACGCCTACACTTGATACCCTCACTAACACTCACTCTGACGGACTGAAGGTGTCTGAAATCTCTACATTCTACGTGCAATCTATCCCACGTCAACATGGCGGACATCGATGCTGAGCTCGCAGGCATCGGCAAGGAGCTTGACAAGGACGCAGAGATTGATCGCATCCGCAGCGTCTTCAGCCTCGATGCCTACGCCGTCCTAGACCTCCAACCCGGTGTTCCCGAATCCGACATTAAAAAAGTCTACCGCGCAAAGTCCCTTCTCATCCATCCGGACAAGACCAAGAACGAGCTCGCCCCCGACGCCTTCGACCGCCTCAAGAAAGCCCAGACAGTATTGCTCGACGAGAAGCTGCGCGCGGAGCTTGACGAAAACATTGCCGATGCGCGTATGCTGCTCATGCGCGAGAAGAAGCTCACAGCCGACGACGAGGAAACACGTAGCGAAGAGTTTGCCAAGGAGTGGCGGCAGAAAACTATCTGGGTGATACGGGAGAATGAGTTGAGGAAGCAGAGGCAGATGAAGGCAGCGATGCGCGAGGAAGGCAGGGCACAGCGCAAAGAGGAAGAAGAGGCCAAGGAGCGCAAGCGCAAGAGAGAACAAGACGAGGCATGGGAGAAAACACGCGACACAAGAATCAACAGCTGGCGTGACTTTCAGCAGGGCAAGAAACCTGATGCCGCTGCCGATGGTGGTGTAAAGAAGAAGAAAAAGAAGGTCAAGGCCCTAGGTTAAGCTTATCGCCTACCTCACCATAGTCCTGGGAATTTCTTCACACTGCCATCTCATTTGCCGGAAGGAGAAGATCAGAAATCACACATGGCCATTATCTCTCTCTCTCTCCAAAGAAAAAATAAACCCGCCATGTCCTTCTGCGCTCTCCTTCCAAGGCACACCAAAGCCAGTCATGTCTCTCTTCTCGATACCCAAACATACTTTAGTTTAACTCCCCACCCCCCTACTTGATGTCCCTGCATACATGCAATACATACATATATAACTACTAGTCCCAAGTCCCCACACACTCAGCATGTATCTCCGAACTCCTACCTCTTACACCAACGCCCAACCCAATCAATACACCCTTCATCGCCGACCAAATTAACTTGCCGGACTCTTATCCGCTGTTTCTTAGTAGGTCGGCGGAGACCCAGTAGCGCAACTTACCCACATCCCTCCTCCCAAAGTTCACGTTCGTCATGTTCCCGCCGATCCCGCTTTATTAGAGTTTTGCCCAACACCTGCTTGAAGGTTTGAGCTAAGGGGGGAGCTAAGCGCGGGTTAGAGACTGCATAGGTCGAACGTCAGGTCATTAAATTTTTTTTCCTCCCTCTCATTACGGCCGCAAGGAAGTAGTAGGCGATTTTGTTCCCGTCGCCCGTTTTGGTTTATCCGGTGGTGGGAGGTGCGGAATGACTAAGTTTCTGCACAGACTTGGCTGGTCGAAGCGCGAGCGATGTGGAAGCAGTTGATCTAAAAAGGGGGAAGGACAGTGGAGAGTGGTGCTTAGTATGTGTTTAGTAATACATGGGTCATCGGTGTACATCAAACAACGTTTTCGTTAAAAATATGCAATACAAGTATTCATGTAGCTAGCTCTACGTCTGTATGACATGTCCCAACCCATAAACCTTAAAAATTCCCATCGTAAACGAGAAAAAGTCAATCCGAAGATTGCGTAAGAATCAGGAGAGAAAGTGGTAAAAAAAAGGGTATATCCTCCTTTCGTAAGCCTCCTTGAGTCGCGAGAATAAAAAAAGGGCCTAGCAGCCCTACGCCTCAGTCGTACGATGTTTCCGTGGCAAAACGCGCCCTTGGTATTGAATCCACGTAACGCGTGTGAATAAGTGAAATGCTTGAGTAATAGTTTTGTTTTTTGGTTCAAGTTGCCCCCCCACGAGCTGACCAGAGCTCAGGGGGGTGTGAATGAAGAAGAAGTTAGAGGAGAGAGAAAATAAGAGGCCGTGGTATCTTTAAGGTAAGAATGGTTTGTTGCAAGCTCAACAAAGGGACGTGATGGACAATTAAGGAAACATTGAAGAAGTAAAGAAAACAAGAGAGAAAAAAATGCCAAGGCAAGAAAAACATGGCGAGGAAAAGATGCTGCAATCATGCGTAGATCATACTGGGTTGCCAAGATGCAAAAAAAGGCAAAGGAAAGGATGATCAGGATGACAAAGAAAAAAACAGAACTGGAGGTGAAGTAAAAAGGAAAAGAACAAAAATCCCAACGAGTTGAATCATTCCCCCGTTTCCCATCATGTGCATGCATTCCACCGTTTTCTGGAAGACAGACATAACAAGACGATTCAAAGGAGAAGAATCACTGACCAGCAGGTGAATCCAACCCTCGATGTCCTCGTCAACGCTCCCCAAACTCTTATTTTCTTATTCCAGCATCTGTTGAATATCCAATCGCCTCCGCTTCACCGTCTCAGGAGACTCAAACCTCCGCTGCTCGGCACCACTCGCCAGCGACTCCAGTGGTCTAACACGCTCGTGTTCTGCTGCTGCTGGAGCACCCGTGCTCATTGCTTCAATGTGCAGTGGCGAACCGAGAGGTGAGGGCGCCGTTCGAATGGGCGGAAGGTGTAGGCCCTCAAGACGTGCGGGACGGTTCAGTTCGCGGAAGGGTTGCTTTGAAGACGATGCGGGTGGTCGAGTGGCGGATCCGTAAGGTGAGGGGTATGTATTCGTGCGGGGTTGGGCGGGAGGCTGGTAGGTAGGCAAGTATCCAGTGTCTGCGCCTGCGCCTGCGGTGGGCGAGTAGCCGTATGATGGACTGCTGCTGTAGGAGCCGGGGCTTATCATAGGCAATGATGTTCGGACAGCTGAGAGATTGTAGTACGGTGAGTTCGGCCCGGAGCTGGTTGAAGATGGTCGGCGTGACTGGTGCGGCGTGAGGTATGACACCGGTGCGTTGTTTAGAGCAGATGTTGTCTGAGGTGCGTTGTTTGGTGTGGGAGGAGCAAGCTGCTGGGTGAGTAGGTTTGGGGCTGCGAGCCTTGGTGGTGATATCACAACCAGCGTCACAAAGTACAGCGAGGTCTTTGCAAGCCTGATTTGGACTTGCAGCGACTGATATGGCTCTGCACCTGGGGCGCGGAAGCTGAGGTAGATGGGCCTGTTGGTGAAGCCCTGTGTGAAGTGGTCAATCTCTTGATCTGTTACAGCGTCCATTACTGATCGCATGGGATCCTGCCCCACAGGAGTGATGGGTGCCATGTATGCCGGCTCACGCTCGTCGCGCTCATCGCGTAGTTCGTGACACAATCGCTGGAGACTTTCGTTTTGCCTGGGCTCTAGCAGATCGCCAAGATGCTTACCCTGGATGTCTCCCAAAAAGGATACCAATTCCGCAAAAGCATGATTTGTTTTTTGTATCATCAGGTCCAAGCTCAAGTATGCAACTGGAAGCTTGTGGTATGCCGGGCTTGCTCCCGTACTATAGGGCAAAGGTAGTGGTCCGCCGGCTGCGTCTCTCGTCGTAGATGCCGGTAAGGAAAGGCCGGCGTTTGGGAGATCTCGCTGGTGGGCAGTGCCCCCAAACATGCGCTGGGAATCAGGGGCTCGGGGTAGAAGAGACCCTGGATATGTCGAATGGTGAACAGGGGTTTCTAAAGGTGGAGCACCCAACAGTTGGCTGGTCGGTCTGCCTTCTTCCATTCTTGCGAATTCTCTATCATCCCTGAGTCGCGGCCGCCCTCTCTTCTTGTGTTGCACATCCTTGCACGTCTCCTATTTCCCAGAATCAGCATTGCAAGGAACAGGCTTACAGGTCTAATGACTTAACAAGGGCAACTAACCTGTTTACCAGAAGCCACACAGCGGCCACAAGGACGCTGAACATCACAGCTGAGATGTGCCTTTTTGCAGTTGACACAGGCTGATGCCACATGTGCTTTGGTTCTTCTGGCTGGCTTGGCTGGTCTGGCTGGTGGTGGTGCAATCATCGCAGTTGGCTGAACCATAGGCCCTTGGTGTTGCATTCCAGCATAGGGTGGCAAAGGGGTATTTTGGTAGCCGTATGGATACGGCTGGGGAATAGACTGTCCATAAGATTGATGTTGAAGTGGACGTCCAGGTTGATAAGAGAGAGCCTGGCCCCTAGGCTGGGATTCCCCAGGGTATAGTGGTCGCTGGAGAACGGGAGTTGCCATTGATGAACGTGGATCGTATGTTGCGGGCGGCGCAGGAGGTTGAACAAAGCTATCCTGTCGTTGAGACGATCCTACAGGTTGCGAGTAAGAGAGGCGCGCGGATTCAACAGACTGTGCTGATCGACGACCTGGGGATTGAGGTTCTGACATGGGCGGGGATGGGTAATCCTGATGCGCAGACCTATGAGGGCTGAATTTCGCCCGAAATTTGGACAGGCCGTCTTCAGCTTCCGCAGGCCGCCCAAATGGCGTAGAAAGGAGTGAGGTCGGACCGGGTAGAACCAGGCTCTGCATAGTTTTACCGCTATGCGCTCAAACGCCGCGTCAGCAGCGGGAGCTTAACGGTGTGTGTGTGGAGGTACAGGTGGGCCAGAAAACTGCGCAGGTCTGGATACCGCGCTTCACTTTTGCTACCCAAGGAAGAAGCAAAAAGCACGATAAAGTTGGCCAGGAAGTCAAAGACAATCTAGATGACAGACAAGGTAAGTTGATGCAGAAAATGAAAGGAGGAGGTGAAGATGATGACGAAGGGTAGGGATCAACTACGTAAGGCTAAACAAGCGGCGAATGTACAACTAGGTACGTACGTACGGCCCTCGAAGCCGAAAAGGCGGCATGCTGTAAGCCAGCCAGCAACAAAAGATCAAGGCAATGGAATTGGGGAAGGAGAGGTGGGCTCTTGGAATTACCTTGTGTGACAACAGTGTCGTGTAGGCCTGGATAGGCACAGAGTAGTAGCTGGGATAGATAGTCGTAGGAAAGCAAAAGACGGCGGGGCCAGTGTTGGTGTTAGGTCTACTGGAGCTAACAGGGTAATGGGACGAGGAAGAGGAGAGGGGAGGCGATGGTATTGACTCAGTGTGGAGCCAATGGGGAATTTGGGATGGCAAATCGTAAAAACATCAGAGCAGTCGTCTGCCCACTCGGCGGAAATTCCCCAGTAATAACCACAATCAGTTATGGGGAATTCTTGCTCACAGATCTTTGCCAATCCCTGTCAAGTCGTGCATGAGGGGCCTCCCAAGAGACGGGGGCCACGCTGAGTTCCGGGCAACGGGAGCAGGGGAGGATGCGTCTCGGGGACGACGACATGCTTCCCTCGTTCGGCTGATGGTTCTTCGACATTTTTGCTAGGCTGGGTGTCCTAGACGGCCGATGCACCCGCGGAAGCACCTATGCACGGCCATTAGTTGGTAGTGGGTGCATGGGCAAAGCGGGTTGGGGAGCCTTGTCAGAGGCCGCTCGATCCCCCTGCTTTCCGCACCGTCTGAGAGCCGGGGTGTGCTAACGGGATATGGCTCGCGCTTCTACACGCCATTGCACCATTGTTTTGCGGCCGCCCAGGCAAACTTTCAGTTGAAGCATGGCACAGGTCGAGGGGGGCCCTTGATGCGCGGCGTGCGCTTATGTGCGACCCAGTAATTGCCTTTGCTGGCTCGATTAGGCACATCCAGAGACCGAAAACGTTCGGTCCAAGACCAGCATCAGGAACGGCAAAGGATGCAAGTCATTTCAGTCAGACGATCACGGGGTTTCAGGAGCCATGGGGTTAGCATTGCGAGCGCAAGCTCAAGCTCCATGGAGGACATTTGTGGCTCTCGATGACAGGCCCGCGGCTGTGGTGCACTACTGCTATGGCGACGCTTGTCGCTGTCAGTCGCGCGTCAGGACCCCTTCAGACCAACCACCACATAGATCGCCTCGCTCGCCTCTTCGCACCGACCGACGGTGGCAGCGGAAGTCCTCGCCTCGCGGCGGCTACGCTGCATTGATTGCCGGGGAAAGCGTGCTCAGGGTCCCTAGCAGTGGGACATGAGATATCAGAGTATACATGTTGCGATAACACTCATTACCACTATGCTCTGATGAGGATGATGACGCACATGCCTGGCGTCAACTCTATCACGGCCCATACAGGTTGGAAATACGACCACTGCTGCGATCGACGTCTCCGTGCGGATATGGCTGAGGCAGGGCGACGCCTTTTTGTATGGAAATTTCCGTCGTCACATCGAGCGAGGTCCGACTTGCCCGCAAAAGCAATCCGTTCGTCATTAGGTTCTCAGCCCACGGCGACGTCCCTTCCTGCGGCAAGTCTGAACTCTTGTCGCATCTTGTGGGGCACGTAGCTTTGTCATGCGACACGCCATGCCCACCTAGCTGCATGGCGCCGGCGCTGTAAGCTTATGTATATGGTGCGGGTGATAGATCTGGCAGATGCAGTGTGCTCTGGGACACCACGCGTGAGCAACGGTAAGCTGCATCCGACGACATACTGTGTATCTGGCCCTCGTACTTAGTGCCAGAAAAGCTTCTGCACAGCTGAACATTGCGGCGGCCATGTGTGGAATGTTGTGTGCACCTTGGCCAGTGACGGGTGCATAAGACGTCAAACAACGGACTCATTTACGCTTCAGGCGACCCTCTCATGCAGGCTGCAAAATCTAACACTGAACAGTTTTCAGTCCCAACCACCCCAGAATCACGCGCTAGGGGTGGCGTCCAATGCTCTTATGAAGCGACACATAGTGCCATGGGCAAAATGCGGTACAGGCATATCATATGTCCCATTATAGGCTTCGTGTTGCATGGGCATGGTACTGGGCACACAAAAAAACTCCGGTGGGTGAATCGATCGAAAGTTGGCGCCCGGTCGAAGATCTGCCTGCAAACTGCCCGAGCCAGGACAGACGGCATTACGGGCAGTATGGCTTGTCGTGCTGGCGTGTGCGCAGCAAGTACACCTAGTAGCAGCATTGATGATGCGGGGCCGACGCTTAGGTCGAGGGCACGACAAACATTGCAGACGAGAGACCTCCTCGGCATGTGATGGCCTCGTGTTTTTTTTTCTCGACGGGAATGAGAAACACAAGACGGAGCGCTTTGCTGCCGCCGATGCCACACAGAGAGAGAAAGGCAAAAAGAGTGGCAGCAGGAGCATTAGCGGCCACCTCGCTTGTCAGTCACGGCGACGCATTCAGAAGGTAGAACGGCGACTGCGGCAGGGCAACAATTCCGCGCTGCAGTCCACAGTGGATGGGTGGATAGACTTGTTGACCCGTGGGACTCGACCTCGACACGGAGCTGCGGTTAGCTGAGCCGAGAGCCGTGAAGATCGGTGCTGTGGCTGGGATCTATACCATGGCACTATCCCTGGATGAGCTTATCCACGAGCGACCAACACATGTACTTACACGCACTTTACTTACAGCATCCATCATAAACTATCACCATGACAAATTCCGGATTGCCCTTGTCCCTACCCCAACACAACCTGCAAGGGTAGGGCACGGCACATGTACTCGCTTGAACCAGGGCAAGCAAGCCCCCCAGCATGTCCGCCATGGCTTGGATACCTCCCCTCTGCACATCTTTACCTTGCTCTTAGCGGAATGAGCCGAGATCCAAAACGCAGGGAGTATGAGTCAGGTCTGCAGGAGCGTTTCCTCCTCGCTCGTCGGGGGGAGGGGGGATGGCACCATCGCTCGACTAGGGTGGTTTTTTTTACGGCCGAAAAAGCGCATGCTTGTTTTGGTGATAAACCTGACAAACTCCGCAGGGTGTGTATGATTGGTGCTGGTCCCCCACCCACCTACGGAAAATATAACACACCAAGCCCAAGAAACCAACGCGGTGGCCCTGAGGCTAGGTAATCTATTTAGCCTTGTTCGACCATGAGTAAAATCCAAAAATAATCTTAGATAGCGGAAGTGGTGTCGTTGTGAGCAGGCTCTATATCGCCTATATAGATTGCTTTCACTTCTGAGTACCATTCGCCGGAGCTACGGCATCCGCATAACGGCCTGTCCAATGTCCCGGGACTGCTCGTCCTGCGGTGGCGGGCCCAGCCGCTGTGTTTGTGCGGTGACGATGACTGTTGAGAGACTCGTCCGCACGCTTCGCTGTTGGAACTATTTGTCCTGCAGTGCGTATACGGCCCTCTACCGGCCTTTCCATGCCCCATTTCGTGTTCGTACGGGCTCCGTATTGTGACAGGTTGGCGTCAGCCGCATGGTGACGCCCCAAATATTGCGACAGAGTTGCGGGCGGGATCTACGAACCGGTGCTCAGGACACGTTGTGCCAAAGTAGCCTCTGCCAGGGGCCCTCGCCCGCCATGCTGTCCGTTCCCTCCTGGGGGCCCTTGCAGCCTCGCCCTCCCTTGCATCTGGGCGCGGGACCACTGTCGATTTGCGACTGGGTGCGGGCCGAGTTGGACCAGTGGTGGCCTCGGTGCGTCGATATGTTGTGTAATGCGTGTACTATTCTCAAAGTTGATGGTCGCGTGGGTCTTGTGTAAGGATAGGAGCGTGTGTAGTTGGACATACTCACACAGCATGTGCGGCTCATGGCTTTGCCCTCAAGGCGCCCTGCAGCCAGCTCCTTACGATGCGTGTGTATGACAGGCAAACCCTGCAGACATCCGCTGCCGACCCCCTTCGAGTCGACTCGTCAGGCCTGCAGCGGAGCGAGAAATTTCCGGTAATATGCTATATCAACAACCAAGCAGCCGTTTACCGAGATACGGAATGTGACTACGCTTGCAGCCACCCGACTAGAGCGGCAGTCTAGACTGCGCCGCCGTAAGAGAACCACGCCGCAGCCGTTGGCCTGCGTGCCGGCGTCTGGTGCGGGTGTTTGGTTTTGATCGAAAAGCGTCGAGCGTATTGCTGCGAAATTGGCCGACAGATTGCGGGCATGTTGAATATCAAAAAGCCGTTGAAGTATGGGGAGGCGTAGGAGTATTGTTGGTCGGCATCGCGTAGTTCCAAAACCCCGAGGCCGAAGCCACGGCTCTCAGGCCACCCACACAGCGCATGTAAGTGCAGTCATCCGGCCGTAGCACTTGGTTGCAACCAAAGGAGAAGACAAAAAGCAATGGCAGCAGTATTAGTAGTACTAGCAGTAGTACTAGCAGTAGCAGTGGCAGCAGTAGTTGCAACAGTGGCAGCATCAGCAATAACAAATGTGGCGGCTTCTGGAAGAACGTCGGGTGAGCTGCCGCAGCGCGGATGCAGGAGGATTCCAAAGCTATTGAGGCCTGGCGGCGTTTGGCCAGAATAGGGAATGGTGGTGTGCACCCTTGAGTTTCGTTGAGTGGAGAAGAAATATGTCGGCTCAAAGAAATCTCCTCGATGGTGGGATGACGTGCCTGCATAGCCATGTGCACCCGATGTGGATGCGCCCCCCTCCTCCCCTGGGAGCCCTGTCCCTGCTTCGGACCTTATTGAGGGTGGTAAGCTTGCAGGTAAGCCTTGACCCTAGGCGCCGAGTACTTACATGCTCTATAATGCAGGCGCCTGTCACTGTCATTTGTCTAGCGGATGTTTTGCACTCTAACCCTTGCTCGGTAGAGTATGGAGTGGACCTACATGAATACTTACATGCATCCATGCTACACATGTAGATATCGTCCGTTTGCGTCCTAATGGCCTGCACTCCCAAAACTTAGCACCCCAAAGCCCAAACACAAAAGTACTCAAAGGGGGTCCAGGTCGCTGCAAATCGAGCCACGACTTGTTTTTGCAACCTTTATTTCTCGTCGACCACGGCGATGTGCGCAGGTAAAAAAAAAGCCACTATTGAGTCCAATGTGCTTTGGCCGAGAGGGGCTTGGTGCTTGCCCACAACTCTGTTCCAGTACCCGATTAAGTTTCGCCAATCCGCACCCAGGTGGCACAGCAAAGCAACGACAGCCTCTGGCGATAAAAGCAACCAACCATGACCTGACCTTGCCCATTACAACGGTCCTTTCTCGCACAATTAGCCCCTCTGGCCAATGGTGCAGCCACCTTCTTTGTTTTGCTTCGCCACAGGGCCAGCCGACAAATCACATCCGACACTGCACCTCGGCCCACGACCATGGTGGATCATCATCATGTTACACAGCAGCGTCGCTGACACGTGCCAACTCAAACCTCATCATTGTCGATTCATGCGTCCAGGCATAAGGCCCGTGTATTGATTCAACCACCTCAATGTTTCCGCTTTTTCGACGGTCGCGCATTCTTTTCTCGCCGTTTCTCCTGTATTTTGCGGTTCTTGCGCACCGTATCCACATCCCGAAGCTCACTCTTGCCCTTTCCGTCCTTGAAGGCCCCAACGCGCTTCTCCTGTGCTTCAGCCACCCGCTTCTTCTGCACATGATAATCGTCGCGGTATCGGTCAGCTTGTTTCGGCGCCTTTTCCGATTTGTGCTTGTACCGAGGTGCGTTGTTGAAAGATGCCGCTGGGCGGTTGGCGGATTCCATCTCGCCCACCCTCGGCATCTTGACCTTGTTTGCTTTGCGCCAGTCATCAAAACGACCGCTGCGGAAACTCGCCGCAATTTTTTGTCCACTTTCCCCGCGGATCATCTTGGCTCCTTTGGATCCGTCGTCGTCGTTGGTGCGGTTGACATACTTCTTGGACTTTTTGTCCCACCGCATCTTGGACTTGACTGCGTCTGCGAAACCTTGGATTTCGTCGTTGACCAGCGACATTTCTGCAGCTCGTGCTGCAGACACAAAGTTGGTGTTGCCAGCATCTCCACCGCTAACTCCATATGCCTTTTCCTCGGCCAAGTTCTCCTTGGGAGTATACGACATGAAGTAGTCGTCGTTCCTCCAACTATCTTGCTTGGACTTCTTCGAGGCCGGCTGTGACACTGACACTTCGAGCTCGTCCGAGTCGGAATCATAGACACCCTCTGCAACCTCAACCTCATCCTCCGAGGACATGTCCTCGTCATTTGCTTCTCTTGAAGAAGCATGAAGAGTGTCCAGCTCATCTTCATCCTTTTTGTTAGCCGCCTGTTTAGCTTTCTGACGCTCAACCTGCTCTCTTCTTTTGCGCATAATCTCAGCTGTTTCGCTATGAATCCCGCGTTTCCCAATTTCAAACACTGTTTCCGCGGGACGAAATGACTGGATCCTCGCGAGCATGTCTTCTTTCTCTCTTTGAGCGGTGTGTGCATCATTGCTAAAAAGCATGTGCGTTTCAGCAAAATTAGGAGACGATGCTAGTTCTTTGGCGCGTACTACGCTCTGTGCGCTTGCCTGGTTGCGTGTGCGCTGGTATTGTCGCTCACCCTTTTCAGCAACACTTAGTAAAAGCGCTAAGTCTTCGTCCTCGCTGAGTTGTCTGTTGACTTGCTCCACGGAGCTCTCTACCTGCCACGGCGACAAGCTCCCAACAACAAAATCATCTGCATAATTAGGCTCGTCACTCGACCGCCCCAAAAGCAGGCGCTTGCCTAGAAAGAGCTGTAGATCTATGAGGTAGGGTAGGTCGACGTGTCTGCATAGACTGTATGCCCAACCTTTTCTTCCCGCACGTGCTGTTCGTCCGACTCGATGGACAAAAATCTTGGGTTGTGACGGAAAGTCATAGTTTATGACATGGTTGATGTGAGGCATGTCAACACCACGGGCAGCAACGTCTGTGACGATAAGGATGCGGGTCAATCCAGTTCGGAAGTCTTGGATTTGCTCTTTTCGAGCAGTTTGATCGAGATTACCGTATACTGTAGAATATTAGTATTAGTCAGTACACAGCATATCATCTCACTCACCATATGATATGGCATATCCCAGATTGCGAAGAAGGTTGGCCAAATACTCTACCCTGTGTTTCGTTGCAGCAAAGATAATGGTTGACTCTGCAACTGGAAGGTCTTTGACGAAACCTTCACTACGCTTTCGCTTCTTGCTGGGTTTCTCACTCTCTTCTCGGGCCTTCTTTGCGGCGTCAGTCTCACCTACGGGGACTTTGATGACGTGATCCAGGAGGTACAGTAGAGCTCCATCTCGATCGCCCGACTTGATGGTAAAGTAAGCACTCTTGAGATCTGGCGAGATCTTGCTTTCCGCATCCAGACGTATCAATTTGGGCTCTTGTAAACCTGCTCGGGCAAACTCCACGAGTGACTTTGGCAAAGTGGCACTGAACAAGAGTGTCTGCCTCGAGGCAGGGAGGGCGTAAAGAATTTCCGAAAGTTGGGCAGCAAAACCCATTTCGAACAACCGATCGGCTTCGTCGAAAACAATGTACTTGACCGAGGAGAGGTCGAGGCCCATCTCGACCTTAAGATGCAGGAAACGTCCTGGAGTGGCAATGATGATGTCGGGGTTTGTGGTCATGGAGCTAAATTCTGCGGGATTGTCAGTATGCATCACAATGGCTCAGTGACTATGCATACGTACGTTCTTCAAGACTGTCACCACCAACGAGCAAGATGGTTCGTAAATCGGTACCACGACCCAGCTCCTTGACTACCTTGAGTGTTTGCAATGCAAGTTCGCGGGAGGGCGACATGATAATTCCTCGCGCGCCAACTTTTGCGGAGTGCGCCTTGAGCTTTTGAATCATAGGTATGACGAAGGCGGCCGTCTTTCCGGAACCGGTTCTGGCCATTCCTACCACATCCTCGCCCTGAAGCATAAGCGGCACTGCCTTGCGCTGAATCGGAGTTGGGACCTTGAAGCCCTTTTGTGCGATAGCCTTTAGAAGGGCCGCATTTAGGCCCATGGCTTGGAAACCTCCACCCTTCTTGACCGACTTGCCTACGTTCGAGGCTTTGCGATTTGAAGCGGCCTGTTTCGCGGCGATGAAAGCCTCGTCGTTGGATCCATCATCACTGCCAACGTCAAGATCTAAGCCCAGATCTGCGTTCAGGTCCGTCTCTTGTGGAATGTCATCGCCGCCTGCTAGGGCATCGAAAATGTCGAACTCGGTTTCGGAGAGCGCCGGCGAGCTCGCGCGGGGGGCCATGTTTGGCTGCTCGACTTTAGGGTTCCGGGACGACGGAGGCGAACTTTTGCTCTGCTTGATGTTCGAAAGTCGCGCGCAGAGACACTCTTGGGAAAATTTCGAGCACGGACCTCATGAAATCTTGGCGGCAGGGATGCTGCTGGAATAGCGTTCACGTGCCCCGCGATGAGGCAGGCGCGTCCGACGCGTTTTGCCTCTAGTAGATTTGCTGCACACGGCGTCTCTCAACTTAAGTCAGCAGGATGAGTAAGTCCTCTGCATTCCAATGTTACTAATAATTCAGGCTAACCACTCCAGATTACAACAACTACGAAACCTCGTACACGTCCTATGGCGCTGGCGGCGCTGGCGGCGGTGGTGGCGGAGGCGGCTTCATACCAGGAGAGGGCGGCAGTACACAGAGTCCCGGTGGCCGGCAAAATCAGATCCAGGACTCGGTACGCCCTGTTACTATCAAGCAGATCCTAGACGCGCAAGGAGAGGTGGGGAGCAATGACACTTTCAAAATTGACGGCACAGTGATCAGCCAGGTACATAACAGCCCCGCGTTTGATTTGTATGCTTCCGCTAACTTGGAGTCAGCTCACACTTGTCGGCCAAATACGCAACATATCTAACCAGACCACAAACACCACATATCGCCTCGATGATGGCACCGGTAGCATAGAGGTTAAGCAATGGGTCAATCCAGAGACAGTAGATCACAGCAGCGTCGCCAAGGCTAAGCTCGTCGAAGGCGCATACTGTAGGGCATGGGGCAAGCTAAGGAGCTTCAATGACCGCAAATCAGTCGGAGCGACAATCATCCGCCCAATCGAGGACATGAACGAAATCTCTTACCACTTGCTCGAAGCAACAGCCATCCATCTCTACTTTACGCGCGGTCCTCCTGGCCAGGCTGGCAGCGCCACAACCAATGGGGCAGGAAAACAACGAGCGATAGAGGGTGGGTATGGTGGGGCCGACCTCGCAGGCTACTCTCAAGCTGCGAAGAGGGTCTTCAGCTTTCTCAGAGAAGTTGAACAGTCGAACGAGGGCGTGAATCAGTATGAAATTGCCTCGAAGCTCGGCATCGACGCTGCAGACGTAGCAAAGGCGGGTGAGGATCTGTTGGCAGGCGGCTTGATATACACGACTCTGGACGATCAGACCTGGGCGATTCTTGAGGCCGACTAAATAGGATATGATGCTGTAATGAGTTACTAAGGAGAGTGGACAAAGGTACGACATTCCGCCAGGGGAGATTTCAGCAAAAGCATGCGATTCATGAGAGCACCTATGGCCTGTATTGATAGTCAACCATTACGCCTCATGCAAATATGTAAAGAAATCCTACTTCTCTGCGTTTGTAGAGAGAAACAGCACACATGTTCCAACAATAGCACACGATACCACTGTGAATATAACCTGCGTCTTCCATCCTGTTTGCACCAGTGCCCGCCGGCGACTATATCGTGTGACGGTATTGATGTAATTAGCCAGCCCCGCAGCCATACATGCCAAGGACAAGATCCAGAAGACAATACCCAGTGGTAGTGCGAAGCGCAGCTCTGTAGCGTGTGTTAGTGGAAATTTTCAGACGAAAGTAGTCGTATGCTAACCGAGTGATGTTGGTTGTAACTTGAGATGGAAAGACAGCACAATGGCTACCGACACGATAGCCATGTACACGCTTAGTTTGAGCCAAGCAAGAAATGCTGTCGGACACATTAACCATTCTGGCTCGTTTTCGACACAGACATTGATGGGAAACCCACTTCTCTCGTTGGCGGCATGATCCCGCGCATCCGAGGTGACGTTATCGAACAGTAGTACACCACCCAGCCACGGGTGTTCTTTGAAAGCCGTTCGGTCATAATCATTACTCCTACCGCACTAATTAGAACACAAAGTCCGGATACGAAGGGAAATGCGGGGAAGAACTACTGTTTAACCAAGATGGGTTTACTTCCAAAGATGTTGTAGAATGGTCGATACGGTTCGCGTAAGATGGCCTCATCCGTAGCATCCATGCGCTCCAGGCTCCTGAAATCCATGGTTTCAAACAAATGCGATCGCACACTCAACCCAAATCGATGAACAAGGCAGAAAAAGTCCGGGCGAAGGATTGATGTTTGGACACGATAGTAATTCCGGTTGCTTATTTACCAGCACAGGCCCGGGCTCGGCATTAAGTAGCGGTAGGTAACTAAAAGTACGTCAGTAGGACCGACCGAACCATCTTCATTGACGCATCCACAACATTGGTCCTTCCTTTGCACCTGAAGTCCACTGTCCATCAAGTCCACTAACTTCACAATGGAGAAACAAAAAGAACTCACGCTTTTCGGCGGATGCGAGTATGTATAACACCATCCCCGAAGTGACGTCATCGTATATACTACATTAAATGCTCTCCGACGCTGACATGAAAATTTTCTTACCATCAATTAAGAGGCTGGAACGCTTCAGATTGGACAGCAAGCGACGACCGCGTTCGTGGCGGAGCTTCGCAATCTCATCTCAGCATCAGCGGCTCCTCTGCTCGTTTCCACGGCACCCTCGACACAAAAGCGCTTGGGGGCGCGGGATTCGCCAGCCAGCGCACCACGGGCGAGACCCGAGCGTGGGATTTATCGGCTTACGATGGAATTTTCCTGGATATCGGCGAGCTTGATGGGAAAAAGTATACGCTGACGCTCAAGGATGAGCTGTTGCCGCCTATGGCGGATGGACGCGAGCAGTCGTCGATTAACTTTGAGTATGATTTTGATTCAAAGAGTGGAATGGGGATTTTCGTGCCGTGGCATGCGATGAAGGCGACGTATCGGGGGAGAGAGCAGAATGATACTAAGCCGTTGGATACGGAGAGTGTGAAGCGGTTTAGTATTATGATTAGGAGGTATGGTTTTGTGTTTTCTGCGACTTGTTCCGTGGTCTATCTCCCTTTTTCTTTTTTGCTAATGGACGAAATAGTTTCTTCGGTTCTCAAGAAGGCGACTTTAATCTTGTCATTAACTCTATCAAGGCTGTTACACAGTCTATCGATGTTGAAAAGCACATTGTTGGTCGAGGCATTCAGGTACGGCTTTAATCATACTCTCGACCCGGTTTTGTGACTAACAGATTGCTCTACTGTAGGAGCAAGAGCCATGGTCCTGGAAGAACTCAAATCTCGTTGGTCTCGCGGTCATCTTGGGCTCTACGTGGGCTGTCTCTTGGGCTTATTGCTGGTGGAAGGGCTATGATATGAGTATCATGCGCCTTTCCAGATGGTGGTCCGTTGTAAGAAAATAGTAGGGCAGTCCAAGGGCTTAATACGGACTGCATAAAACACAAACTTTTCATACAACCCGTCTGTATATGCTGCAAAGAAAGAATTATCCAAAAGCGGTTATCTTTCTTTCACCCTGAGTTGATTAAAGTGCGCAACTTTATCACATATTAAATTGATTACTACTTTAGGCTGACTTCGATCGCTCTTTCCTACTTGAGTCTCTAATAATTATATAACTTATCGCGTTTGACTATTTTCCTCTAGCCTAGACCAGGACTAAGTGAGTATAGCCTAACCTTGTGTAACATCGTGGCCTATGCGATCTATCCTTAACGAAATTTTTCCAACCCTTAACCTTATCTCAACACATGTTGAGTACCCTGTACTCATTTGACAGCCTACATACATTTACCCTAACGCTAGCTTATCTTGACGCAGTCCAGACTCCAAGTCACGCCTCATATACTAGGAATGCACACAGCTCGGCTTGGACCTAGTGGGCCACGCCCTCCTTCGATATCAAGGCTGCGATTAACAGATACCACATGATTGGTATTTCCAGCTCCCTGATAACCTGTGACCGTACTAGGTATGCGTAATCGAATGATCCAGCTGCCTATTGGTGCCTGTACTTGTACCGGTCAAGCTCTTCCTCTTCTGTTACTGGTTGTTGATTCGGCATACTGTTCCGGTGAACAGTTACAAAGGCGACGGGCTTGTATTTCAGCAATAGCATTGGGCTGAGAATCGCTTGTATGCATGGTCATGCATGACGAATGAACAAACTCAACCAGGCAGTGTCTGCGGGGGCTGAGCCTGCTCACACCTAGGTATCCGTAGATGCATTTCCCTGAGTGCGACTCCTAAATTCACACTCCTGCATCTCAAACGTTCTCCATGGTGCAATCATGCACTGGTTTCGCGCCTAATCGATGAAACTTAGTGATCACATCTCTAATTGAGATGGAGGACTGCGTGGCATTTGGGGTGTTTGTGCTGACAGTTGAACATGCTTTTTTCGTCGCCCTGAAAATGGCTGAGTCAATCTGCAGCCTGTTTTGCGTATTCGTCAGGTTTAACCAGATGCGTGGTACTCCTCTTCAGCTGCGGCTGCAAGCATGCATTAGACTTTGAGAGGCTTCAAGACGACTGAGGATAAATTTCCCCGCACTTGTCTTGCTCTATCAGGTCCACCCACTCCAATCGCCCATTTCTATCTCAAACTTTTTTTTCTCGGTAACTCCCTGCATTGGTACTCGTGCTTATTTGACAATGCCTAAATTGCTGAAGACTTGGTTCAAAGGAAATAGGAACCCGAATCAGGACAGTGACCTGCACTTCGGAGATAGCGCAGCCGAAGCATTTGCATCGTCTAGTTCTAGCAGCTCAAGTCATGGAGAATGGGCACTGGTCCGTCACGAAGCTGCATCTTCCGATGTGACTGTTATCTCCAGCGGCCCACGTGAAGCTTCCATGGAGACGACCACCGCATTGCCGGAACATTCACAGACGACCAACAACACAGGTACCGGCGGGGCGAGTCACTACAAGACGGGTCTCAATCTTCTATATAAAGCCAAGGAGGGCATTTTGACTGTAGAGTTAGTATGCATTCAGATTGATGTGCGCTTTCAAGCTAAGTAATCATAGTATTGTGGCAGTCCATGGAATCAATGGCGAGCCTTTTACGACCTGGACCGATGCTGGCGGAAGCGGCAATCTCTGGCTTCGAGATTTTCTGCCAAAGGCGATACCATCATCTCGAATCTTTACTTTTGGATATACCGCAGATTTCTTCTCACGCAGCGACATGAATATTCTCGATTGCGCACGGAGCCTACTCGCTGGACTAGACTCGCAGCGAACTGATGGTGACGAACTGCGTCCTCTAGTGTTCATTGGCCACAGTCTTGGTGGCTTAGTCATCAAGGCAGCCTTGCTGGAGGCTAAAGAAAAGGAAAATCCGACATGGGATGCTGTCCGTCATGGCGGTGTCATGTTCATGGGTGTGCCACATGATGGAGCGAAACTGGCAAGTTTTGCAAGCAGCGTGAGCATGATCGCCAATATCTACTCGTCGACGAATACAAAGATGTTGAAGCAGCTCAAATCAGATTCTCGCGACTTGTGGGAGCTCTCGCGGCGCTTTGGCAACATCCAGAAATATCTGCGCTTAGTTTCTGTTCTTGAAGCTGAGAGGACCGTGTCTGGGTCAGGAAGGGGAAGCATCAAGGTCGTGCATGACGATTCCGCAAGGCTGAACCTCGGAGAAGATGAGTACAAGATTGACGGCTCTGACCACAGTACGGTATGTAAATTCGGGGATGCTAACAACCCGGAGTACATCAAGGTCCAGAACAGCTTGAAGAAGTTGACACAACCTACTCAACCCGTATCGCGTACGTAGAATTTCCCTTGTTAGCGTATAGTCCATTCGAAATTGTAACCTCTCTCCAACACACAGTGTTCCACCTCATTGTGCAACACATCCATATGTTGGGGGCAATATCGAGTGCATTCTAATGCCTCCATGTACTATTATCTCCAGGTGGAGTGCTAGCGCTAAGAGGTTGAGTGCCATCGTTTCGTATTCTAGCAAAATTTTGCAGAATTTTGTGTGAATTTTGAAGTCATATTCTTACCTCAAACCAGGCGATCCAAATAGCAAGATTCTGAGTTCGATTGACGAGACAAAGAATCATAGAGATGCTCGGGATGAAAGACTTGAGGGGACTTGCCAATGGATCTTTGAGAGGCAAGAGTACAAGGACTGGAAATCAGGGGCATCTGAAAACATACTTTGGGTAGTTGCAACGGGTAAGTCACTCTCCTGACATGGTTCCGTACTTTCTGACCCGATGCTAAGCTGGTAGCGGTAAAACCATACTCACGTGAGTTTCAATTTCGTTTGAGGAGCGCAGGGCGTTCTGTGCTGATGTCACTTTCAAGCTCCTCGGTTATTGACGCTCTTTTGGGCGATCGCGGTGTCAACGATGGCCTGGCCTACTTCTATTGTGACTATAAAGATGCTACCAGCCAAAACATCTCCCAAATCTTTGGCTGTCTATCAGCCCAGCTCTCACGGCAGAATAACATCTTTCGTTCTGTCGCAGCGAAATACCTGGTAAGCATATGTCACTGTCAGTTGCGCAAGACCTTTGCTGACTTCGCAGGCAACTTTTCAAAAATCCAACATTGAAACCCGAACAATCGACTACAAACGGCTCATAAGCATCATGATGGAGACTTGCAATCATTTCAACTGCATATATCTGATTATAGATGCCGTGGACGAGTTCATGCCTCCGAGTGGTACGCATGGAAATTGGGATCAGCGAACAGCATTATTGAGAACACTCCTGGAGTTGGAAGAGGCAGGCAGAGGAAAAATCAAGATTTTCCTCACCAGCCGGCCCACGCGCGAGATTCAGGATGAATTAACAGGCGTACCAAGTGTCACAATCACGAAAGAGGCAAATTCTAAGGATATCGAACTCTATATCCGTAAGAGGCTTGAGGCCACCAGAAAAAAGAGTCGTGCCGAATGGGGCAACAAGTTGAGAGCAGGTGAAGAGCAAAATCCAACAATGTCTGAATTCATCACTTCTCAGATAACCGAGAAAGCAGATGGCATGTAAGAGTCATTTACTCCGAACTTGTGCAGATAAGTCCACTCATTTAAAAGGCAGGTTTCTTTTTGCTACTTTGCAGTTGGAAGTCCTGCTCAACTCCGACTACAAGGTAGACATATCAGTCACACTTGAACGTTTACCGAAGAACCTGGAAAAGACCTGGGAACGTATTCTGATAGACAACGACGCAAGCCAAACAACTTCACAAGAATGTGAGATTGTAACGCACATGCTTCAGTGGCTTGTCGCAGCGGCTCGGCCTTTGAAACTCTATGAGATCACAGCTGCAGTAGCAGTGCCCTCTTATGAGACATATCTGGAGACGGAAAGATGGGTGCCTCATTCTGAATGGTTGTCAGACGTGCGTTTAGAGGGACCTCTCCATACGCCCGAGTGGCTACGGAAACTGTGCGGGCCTCTCGTCCGATTGACCTCATCCAAGGAGGAAATTTCACTTGCACATTTCTCGCTCAAAGAATACTTGACATCTGGTAAACTTGGCAACAGCAGCAATGCTCAAGTACAGAAGTATAACGTCGCGCTTGCAGACGCACATGCTCACATCGCCACCGTCTCATTGACATATCTATGTTCGCAGGAACTATCCAAGCCATTCCGCAACAGACAAGAATTGGACGAGCTGCGTCAGGCGCACAAGCTTATGGATTACGCCACGCTGCATGGAGGCACCCATCTTTCGCATCCATCACTTTCCAATCGAGTCGACGACAAGATCATCGACCTTCTCAACTATCTCCTGATACCGGAAGTGACATGGACAGTACTGGGTCTAGAACGTGGTCAGTCAGACGCACTTCTAGACGTTACTCTCACTGCACTACCTCATCCCGACCTGGAGACGGATGACTACGAGAGCTGGCCTACTGAGTGCGACGCGGTATATGACGCTCAAGTTTCGTCAGACCTAGTCGAATCGCTGATAGAACGAACGGTCGAATTAATCGAATCTCGCAATAACTGCAAGACGTTCCTACAGCTCTTCCGCCTTCTCAGCGGACGCATGCGAAAGGATCATCCCTTCAATGTCACACCCCTCTACTACGCAGCATTGTTTGGTTGGAGACCAGGAGTCGAGAGACTTGTGGAGTCAGTTCGGGACCGAGTTACCACTTCCGATTTGAACCATGCTTTGCGTGCCGCAGCCATGGGTGGCTTTCCCGATATCATTAGGCTACTCACTTCGGCTGGGGCCATTGTCAACTCAAATATGAGATCGCTCGGAAGTCCTATTCAGACGGCAATTTCTTGTGGTTGCGTTGACGCTACCAATACATTGCTGACTCTAGGAGCCGATCTGCGAAGGGAGGAGCCCTACTATCGGGTTGGAGGCACCGTAGGCAGTAGTATGCAAGCCGCTGCTGAGACTGGCGACACGGCCTTGATACAGCGCATTATCGATAAAGGTGGTGATCTCAACTGCAATGATGGCTGGCTTGGGACACCACTCCAATCAGTTCTCGAGAAAGGTCAAGATAAGGTTGCGCACTGGATCATTGACCATCCTAACTTTGACCCCAACGTCACAGGCGGTTACTATGGCAGTGCATCTCGCTTTCTCTGCTTTGCAGGGCCCCAGCCAGGGCTGGAACTGCTTGAGAAGATCTTCAATCGCGGAGGCATGCCCTCTGAGCGTGTTGGTGTCTACGGTAGCCTACTGGAAATCGCCAGCCACTTCGGTCATAGAGATATAGTGCAACTTTTGCTTGAGAGAAACGCGGAATTGGATGGAATCTCCATGGGACAGTTTGGGAATGCTGTTCATGCAGCTGCAATGAGGGGCGATGAGGAGATACTTGGCCGTCTGCTCTCACAAGGCGGAGATTCCAATTGCGCAGGCCGATGGCTAGGACGCGGTGTCGCCCAACACGGATTCATCCCTGGAAACCGGTATGGGCAATGTATTCAGCTCATTCAAGGCACGGGATTTCTCGCATTCGACCACTCCTGGGTTACGAAAGCTTTCTTCGCGCCGGCGATACATGCCGCCATGCGCATCAGGGAGGTCGACCACAACAAATGGTTCTTGCTTTTCGAGAATGAGCCTACTCATCGCGACGGCCATTTTGGAAATCCGCTCCAAGGCGCGGCATTTCGTGGACATACCGGAGTGTTGAAGCTCCTACTGGCAAATGGCGCTCGTATAGACGCGCATGGCGGATTCTTTGGGACTGCGCTGCAGGCCGCCGCCTCACAGAGACATCTTGAAGCGGTCAAAGTTCTGTTAGAACAAGGTGCGAATCCCAACATAGCTCCGTCGGGATTCTATGGTAGTGCCCTTGCCGCTGCCACCGCACTGGGCTTTAGAGATATCATACAAGTTCTGGTAGATTGGGGAGCAAGGTACGACTGCTTCGACGAGAACGGCTGGAGTGCGCAAACTTGGGAAACTCTTCGCACAGCAGACTCACCACTCGAGATGCAACCCGAAGCTGAGTGTAGAACTCCTAACGCGTGGAGTTCCGTAGACAAGTCACCTTATCTCGACATCATCGACGACGACGGACTCGTTGTGCAGAGCCTTAGTGCTATGGTTTTCGCAGCCACAGCTCTAGCGAAACATCCAGTATCACCGTACAAAAACTTCTACTTCGAGATCACAGTCGAAGACCCGGGTCTGGAAAGGTATTTTTCCCTTCTTTTCCTTCTTTCTATGGTCTTCTACTAAAATGGACCACACAGAATCATAGCGATCGGTTTCTGTGAGAAGTCACACCCAACTTTCAAGCTTCCTGGCTTTACAGAAGATTGCTGGGGTTTCCGTGGCGATGATGGCTGTTTCGAACACAAGCCTAAAGAAGGACTAACATGGCCGCATGGCTCAAGTTGGGGTTACCATGGTGATGATGGAGTTTTGTATGCACAGAACGTGCCGAAAGAGCTAGGACAGGAGGGAAGTGTGCCTTTCGGTGAAGGGGACACAGTGGGCTGCGGGCTAGAGTGGCAAAGTGGAGGACGATGCTCAATATTCTGGACAAAAAATGGGGTCAGACTCGGTACGTTCCTTGCTTACTTACTGCCTCGGCAATTACCGCCCATAGATATGATCAAGCAGCTAACTATCTTCCACACAGAGCCAAGCGTTACAACCGAAAGACGAAGACTATATCCGGCAGTCGGATTACAATCTGAGGGCGCAGTTGTGAGGGCGAACTTTGGGCAAAGATCCTTCCGATATGAGGTTGATGGTAGTAGTAGCACAACTTCCCTGCGTGTCCAGGCATAGCAGTTGAGTCAATGCTCGTGGCTCAGACATTCTTTCACGATCTTTTTCTTTATTACTTGGCCTTTTTTCCATCTGTTGGCTACGCAGCGTATATCAAAAAATGAACTTCACAGTCAAAATAAGAATAGTCTAGCAATACTACGAAAACCTCTTAACGAATATATGCCTACTAGGCATACCTCTGTTAGGTACGACACCTACAGCATAGTTACGACGAAGGCAGCAACAGCAAACTACATTTACAATACAACAGCAGCATAACAAACTACAATTATAACAAGGATACTAACTATTAACAAGTAGTAAGACAGACCAAAGTAAATCACGCATAACTTACCACAGTACAACAAAGTGCTCCAATACCTATAAATCCACCATATCATCGGCCGATCTCTCCCATCTCATCCCGACCACGAATCAATTTCAACGCCATCTCAACTCGTATCACCACCATATCGATCTTTATTCTGCCGGCTGTCGCCTGGATTTTCTCTCTACAAGATACCTATAAAGATTTCTTCTTCTCTAACCATAGTATTAGCTTTCTTTACGTGCACTACTGGAATAAATCTACTAAGATGTGTAGAAGTGGATTCTAGATATATTCCTTTAGATTGGTACACGTGAAAGATTCTTTGGTAATAGTCTTGCTTCTTAGTCGCCATGCTATATACAATCCTGACAGTTGTTCCTTGAACAACTACACCTCTGTTCCCTCACCTCAACCTTTCCGAAAACCACCTCGAACCCACCTCATCAACGAATCTCTGTTGAGTAGCCCGCCCCTTCCCTCTCAAAAAGAAAGCAAAAACAGCAACAACAAAAAACCTCCCCCATCCTCATCACAACACACTCCTACCATCCCTCCCCCCCATCCCCCGGCACGACCCGTCCATCCCACACACACACACACACCTCTTACCTCACCCACCACCCCCTCAACAAAATTTCCCACCAAGAATCCCCGGCATAATACTCCGATGCAAACCCATCTTCTCTTTTTCCTTTCTTTTCTTTTGTTCTTCCTCTTCACCCTCTCTTCCTTGCCCGGCAACTCGTTTAATTTCTTTTACATGGGCTAACGCACGGCTAGCTAGAGGACTTAACGGATAGGCATGAGGTAGAATAATGATGCTGATGATGATGATGGGGAGAAGGGAGAAGGGACTATGTATCATGTGCCATATCCTCCCCGCATGCTAAGTGATATCTTGGTAACCTTGGTGAAAGGATTGTAAAAAGAAAGGGGGGGGGCCACATATGTTGTCAAAGGATGTTATTGCATTGTCTTCGAGATGAGAAGGGGGAAGCTAAGAAAAAGGATGGGATGAGGAGGGGGGGGGAAGAATGTTGAGCTGTAAGATTACCTCGTGCGTATAGTACGACGGAGGGGGAGGGGGGGAGGGAAGGGATCCGCGGTTGGTGTGCGGTCTGGCAAAGGTGTATGCGTACGCACCCCTAGGAAGAAGGAAAGGAAAGGAAGGAAAGGCGGAAAAGCAATATTGGCTTCTGACTCCCTTCCCCCTCTCCCTCCCTTTTCTTTTCCCGGACATGGTGTTTTTTTTGGTGTCAACGTCCTATCTAACTTAATTTCCCACTAACTAAATCTTGCCCTCATCTTGCATACACCGTGTAGTTGTGTAGACGTGTAACGTACACACACACCGCATTTCACACCAAAAAAACAGCCTATGACGCCAGCCTAGACACGCCACTTGCGTAGGTGTAGTTACTTACTCTCTCCGCTCTCCCCTAAAGCCCCTGAAAAGAAACTTCTAGAATGTGGATACGCAGTAGACCTCGTGCCCAATTCGAATCAAAAAAAAAAAGGGGGGGGGGGGGATGTTGTGGATATCGTAATCAAGGCCCAACTCAACCCAATTTTTTTTCCTTCTTTCCTCTCTTTTCTGTGCTTTCCCTTTTGCTTTTTGACGGCTACTTCTTCCGCACATGTAACTTGCCTTTTGCGTGCCGCATGGTAGAGTAGACATACGCATGCGCACGGATGTATGTGCATATGCAGATGTAGGTGCAGGTGCAGGTGCAGGGGCGGATTGCGAATTGCGGGTTGTTGTACCCGTGGAAAAAAGCAGAGAAGAGAGAGAGCGGCGGAAAAGAAATGGGTTGGGTTGGGTTGGGTTGGAGGAAGTGGATGAGAGTTGATGCACATGGAATCCGTAACCTCGCAGGAAGGAGTAGATGGTCTGCTCGAAGAAGATGCATCTCATCCTAAGTGCCACCTATTCTTTTCGTAAGAAAGAAGAAAATGAGGGGGAATGTGGATTTGGATGTGGATGTTGTGGTACAATTGTGGAGTGTATGCAGGGGCAAGTGCTTACGCTCGTTGCTTCTTCCATTCTCTTTTTTTTCTTCGTCTCGGCAACCATGGACGGGATTACGAGGTAAGCACAAACGCAGGAACGAGAACGAGTCAGGTTAAAAAACGGTTGGGGGGAGTGGGTAAAAAGCAAAAAAACATGCAGAGGACAGGTAAGAACTTACGACTCATGGAAGGAAGGGGAAGGTGCTACCCCTTCAATGGTTTCCAAAATGGTGGACTTGGTCATCCTACACACTTTCCCTTTCAGATTATGAAAATGCCAAACGAATGGGCTTCAACGCAGCACAAAAAAAGCATAGCACTTTCCGAATAATCTCAGTATCCAATTGTGATTCATTATTTCCAATACCGCATATGTTTCTGACCTTCGTCAGACCGTATATGCTAACTGCTTCCACACATACACACACACATGTGATTAATGATCCTGAGCCAAAATCAGAGCTCTATCCAGAAACTACACAACAATGATAGAGAGATAAAGAGAAGTAGAAAAACAAGGAGGAAATATACATAGAGATACACAAACACAAACAACAAAAAATGATTCCAACGGAGAGAGATGTCGCCCAAATTGCTAAATGCAACAAAAAACACAAAGACGACGCTTTTAACTCCCTTTGACATGTTGGAACAAAACGCCTGGAAAAAAAAAACTCCAGACTCGTTACAGCCGAGAAAACAAAAATCAAAGACGAGGCGGCGTATTAGATTATGCCACAGGAGAGGGAGATGGAGATGGAGGATCCTCAAGAAGCTCATGCCTTGAGAGAGATTCGGACAGATAGAGATGGATGTGTGATGTGATGAAAATAAACCAAGGCTGAGCAAAAATAGTTTGGGTATAATGAGAATGTTATCTGTGAGACGCGGCGGATGACAGAGAGAGTGAGAGAGACGTTACGCGCTCAATGCGAAATGATGCATTTTTTTGGTCATTGTGCCCCGAAATCTCCCGGTCCTTGGTTGGCAAAGATGTAGCTTTTGGGTTGAGGTTCATTCGGCCGTCGCATAAAATTCCCTTGGGCAGGATTAGTGCCCTGAGGTGGGTTGTACTGATGTACTAAAAAATCTGGCATGGCAGAGACTTGAGGCGCAAAGGGGACATTGTGGTGAATGCCGCTCAAGGAAAGGTCTTCATAGTTCATATTCCCACCGGACATGTATTGTAGACTGCCGTCGTCAGGCTGGTTTTGCGTAGAGTCAGGTAACGAAGGTCTCCTGAAATGCGAGGGCTTGGGTTGTTGAATGGTCAGATCAGTCGTGGAGCGAAAACCTGCTCGTATTTGGGGTGGCTGTGCGTATGGTGTCCTGTGAAAATGTTGCTGAGTCGCTGGTGCTGATTGCGGCGGTGTGTCGCGATAAAGCGCATCGTTGACGAAGCGAGATTGCAGGTCCATGGAGGATGAGGGCGGCGAAGTAGTCTTGGCAATGACGTTTCCAGCCTGATCCGAAGACCAATTCGTGTGCATGCTCTCTGGACTGTTGTGATCAGGCATGGCCGAATGTGGCCTGATTACCGCTGCACCGCCCCAGTAGTTGCCAAAATCCTGTGGAGTCAGCGGAGTCGGGGGTGCCAGACTGCCGCCTTGGCCTATGGTAGTGTTGCTCGAGGTGGAGAAGGTTCGCGCAAACTTTGGTGATGCCGCGGCCTCGGAGAAGCTCATGGCCATGGGAGAGCGCTGTGCTGAGCCGGGCTGTGACTTTTGTACACGGCCTCCAGCATTCCCAATACCTGTTGAGCGAATCCTGCGAATGACCTTGTCGTTGTTGC